TCAGTTGGTACTGCAGAGGACACCCTGCTACCCCAAAGCTGTTCTACCTCATGGGTCTAAAGACGACAGAAGAGCAAACCTAGCATTGGGAGGCGGAGGCAGGAGGCTTAAGACCTTGTCTCAAAACACACAAGAAAAAAAATAAATTAAATAAATAAGCAAGGTGATAGATTCTGTAATTCTGCCTACTGGCCTGAATGTTCTGGAGGGTGCACACCTCCTTTGTAAGCCCAGCATCAGGCCATAGCCTGGTCACTGCCAAGTGGCTTGGTGGTCCCAGGCTGCTGTACCCCACATTGCATGCTTGCCTACATCCTCCAGGCTGGAGGCTTCACCACGGACACAGGGGAGCAGTTTCCACACATGACATCCAAGTTAAAGAAGCAGAAGCTTAGGTTTGTGACCTCAGTCAGAGATGTAGAAAATACCCGGTTTGTTTGGTAAATCTAGATGATAAATTTGATATTCTGGTGAAAAGTAAAATTCCACCTTAGTAAAGGATTTTAAGGAATCTTAGAGGACTCGATTAGGCAAGCTCTCAAGACAGTAACTGACCATCTATGTATTTTTTTTTTTTTTTGAGACAGGATTTTTCTGTCCTAACTGTTCTGGCGCTTGTTATGTAGATCAGGCTGTTCTCAGATTCACAGCGATCTGCCTGCCTCTGCCTCCCAAGTGCTGGCACTAAAGGTGTCACCAACACACCTGGCTTGACCACAGTTCTCGAACACTGTAAGCACATGTGCTGGGTGTTTCTGATATCCGTGGTTATCCTGAATATAACCATTAGCGCTGGAGGTGAGAGGTGGCATGTGGCCAGAAGGAAACACATTCTGTAAGCATAAGCAGACATTTGCTGGTATCTATGTGGTGGCAGACACTGGGGTGAGCACTGGCAGGAGGCCCGGATGTTCAGCTCCAAGCAGTCCCCTACTGGCCCGGGGTCTCACAGCACTCTGTGTGGACAGATGATGATGGAGCAATGACAGCCACCACAACTTATGGGTAATCACCATCCAGGCTCCACAGGCGACCTTTCTTTACCACCCAGGGAGGTCAACGCCCTCTCTCCAAAGGCAAACTGAGCTAAGCCTAGAGACCAAAACATAGGTGGCAAAAGTCTTCAACCCCAGATTCTCCAACTCCTATGCTCTTGACTACTGGGCCTGCTCAAGTCCCAGGTAAATCCCTAGGAATAACCAAAACCACAGACCTGGGGCCTAAGCAGGAAGGGAGGATTTGCTTTCTTAAATCATGGGCTCCTGTTGCTCACCTGGGCACAGATGCTGCCATATGCAGCCACCTGAGGAGAAGCTTTGCCATTTACAGTCTCTGGGCCAACTCTGAAAGCACCAGAATATACATTCAATCATCTGATTGCATGAGGTGTTTTATTGTTGTTGGTTTTTTGACTTTTGGGATAGGGTTTCTCTGTGTAGTCCTGGCTGTCCTGGAACTCACTCTGTAGACCAGGCTGGCTTCAGACTCACCGAGATCTGCCTGCCTCTGCCTCCTGAGTGCTGGGATTAAAGTCTTAGGGCACTACACTTGTATGAGGTTTTAAAATGTATCAGGCTCTGAAGGGAGGGCTGGAACCCAGGGATAGAGCTCTGAGGGGAACACTCAAGAGAGTGCAGTACTCCGAGGGGAACAGAAAGCTGAAAAGAGAGTTGGCCTCTGTTGATTACCCAGGTCTCCTATTTAGCAGGCCAGGTCCAACTGTGACCTGAGAAGTGGCCATTCCTATAAGAACGAACTCCTGGAAGACTGTCTCCAATTGCTGAGCTCCCTCAGTGATGTCATTCTCACCTGGGGACCAGGAGAGACCAGAGGCTGGGTCAGTGAGAGCCTGTTACTGGGTGTGGAGAAGGGACGTGCGGGGTGAAGCGCAGGAGAGTCCCCTACGAGTGTGACAGATGAGTCATGCTCTTAAGTAAAGCGTGATTCAAGGTAGTTGGGTCAAGCTTGCTCGTGAACCTGGAAAACATCTGTTTCATTCTGACATCTGGTGCTCCCAGGACTGAAGGAAGAAGAGAGTGTAGGGGAGGGGCCAGCAAAAGGAGGAATTCCCAGGAATCGGCAGCACCTTGCAAGAGACATCACAGCCGCCTCAAGCATGTAAGTTCCAAACACCGTGTCAAATCGCAGACGCGCTCTCCTCTGATCCTAACAAGGAGAGAAACGCCACAGCGCTGCTGCGCGACCCTGCCACTGTTCTACCACGAGAAAGCATCGCCTTTAAATGACTCTTTCAAGTTCAAGTTGAGTTTCAAGTCGTCGCCTCGCAGAAGCCCCAGAAGAATTCCCGCTCCTCCAGGTTTAAAGTGCCTATTTTAAAAAGTACGAAAATGGAAACTCCGCCTGAGAGGACTGACCTTCTCAAGGCTGCTCACTGCTTGCTTCCAGGCGCTTGTTACAGAACAAATCCAATGCCACACCATGAGGTAGCGGACAAGAGGGTTGTTTATCCCCAGAAACACAAAGAATGGGAATGACTGCAAGTATTCCCATCCGATTCAACAGGAAATGCCATAAAGTAACCTACGGAGACTTACTTCCCTGGTGCAGCTTGAAGAAATTCAGCACCAGGGTCTAAGGGAGTTCACCAGGCAGGAGGCAGACCGCTCACAGCGGCAGAATATGCGGAAGCGCCTGCTCTTCAACTCCAGCCAGACTTCACTGGCAGAGAGCGTGAGACACCCACCGTCTGAGTCAATGGACTCTCTCTCATCCCTACCCCAGAACTGTATGTGAGCATCAGAATGAGCCAGAAGGAGCCTTTAGGGATTACTCAGAAGGCAGAAAGACCCCTCGGCTTGCCAAAGCAGTCCCTCCCTCCCCGACTGAGTGGGGACAATCAATGAAATGTTAGTTTTAGTCTTTATGAATAAACCGGGCCTTGCTTCCAGAAGACACTCAGGAAAGTGAGAGACTTTCAACAGCCAACTGACAGGGAGAGGAAAAGGTTTTCTGGTTTCTCCAGCCAGAATGTTGGTCTGGGGGCTGAGCCCATACTACAAATGATGTCTATTTTGGGAATAGAAACACCTGCATGCTGAGGAAGCTCAAGCTCTTGCTGAGTTGGCTGGATTACCCTTGGTAACCCCAGGGCCTGGCTTCTGCGCACACTTGAATGTTCACTGTAGGAAGGGGAGAGCGCCCCTACCCACCTCAGACATGGAGAAGATTTTAAGCCCATGTCAGATGCAGCCAATCAACCTGACATTCACGTGATGAGCATTATGAGGCGCGCTGGGCACAGGTGCAGCGTCCTGCCGAAGCACTTGGGGACGCAGGCACGTGCGAGTAGTACACGAGGCACTTGGGATTTCTGAGGCCAGCCCACCTATGTACACAGCTTCTCACTTAAAGCCCAGAAGAACTGAAGAGCGCGTTCTCTGCTTAGGGAAAAGCATCTCATTGAAGGCCAGAATACTGTGACTCGATGCCTACTTGCAAACCCCGGACCAACTCACACAGACAAGGTTCTTGCTCAAGCTCCAGCGAATTTATAAGACAGAGAGGGAGGGCTGTGTCCCCTCTGCCTCCTTTGTAAGGTTCCCCGAAACTCAAGCACAATTCTAGGGAGGCCCTCTGTATTTGGTGGGTGACCCAGGGCAGGCGCTGTCACGCCTCTTCAATCCCTGGCTTTCTTGGTGTTCTCTTGGCTAAGGGGAAGTTACAGCAAGAAGGAAGCATTGCTCTACCCTTCCGGTGGGCTTTTCTCAGGTAGTTCTGAAGCCTCTAAGTGCACATGGTAAAAGTCACCTCACCCCTTCCCAGAGCATCCAACCACAGGAGGACTGTGTAACTAGGAAAGCCTCCCCACTATAAGAGAGAACTTCTGAGACCCCTGGCACAGGGCACTGCAGAGGAGTTACCATGGAGAGCCCTCAAGGAGAGCCAGCTGTTTCCCTAGACACCTGACTGGCATCCTGTGAGAATCTGAGGCACCACGGCAAGGACAGCTCTACTTTCACTTCCGTGAAGAGACCCCTCTGAGGGGTGGCCTCTCCCCACTTAGAAAGGGTATGGGGACACTGTCAAGCCACTGGAGATCAGAGTAGCCTCAGTAGCTGTGAGATGTAACAGAACACTCGCTTCAGCACAAACAAGACTCAGACACAGCCCCAGCAGGCTTTTGGTTGGAAAGCCCAACCAGAGCCATGACTCCTCAGAGCAACCACATAGCACGCTCGGCCCCTTAGACCAGCCCTTCCTAGGATCAACTGCTAGCAGGTAAATCCATGTTTTCGCTCCTGCTAAGGAAAAGAGGCAAAGCTAGTAAAATTGACTACTGTCCACAAAGATTCTGCATTTACACAACGGCGCGTGTTTGACACAGCCGTGTAACTGAAGGTCGACAGACTCAAGGTTTATCTGAAGCACCAGGAGACGGTAGCAGAGATAGCTCGTGACTACGATTCAAAAGTAAACATATACAGACAGACGTGTCAAGTCACGTGGCACAGCACGCACGCACATTCGCTCATCTCTCACGCTTTATCATCGCATAGAACATAAACACTCTTCACATAAAAAACACTTCATTTTAAATTAAGCACTTAAATCTTTGAAAAATATGTTTAGATATGTTAGAGAAATAAACAAACATACTTTAGACTCTAGCCTAGGAGGGTGTCTTGATTACATGACTGTAGCCTAAGACCTTCCAGTGAAAAGAACTTGCACTTCCCCCAAGATGTTTGTGTTTCAGATTTTAAGATCTAGCCTCCGTTGCCAAATGTAACATCTACCCGGTCAAAGTGCCTTACCGAGACGGGAAGGACCACTCCCGCAGACCTGACCAAGACACAGGTGCAGCACTGAAACACAACCTGCGCGACAGGGGCTACAGCTACTGCTCGACACTAAGAGAGTGGTTACCAAGAGGCGTGGCTGACTTTGAAACGTCATAGTAAAATTAAATACAGCCCCACTTTTCAACAGGATAGTCAGTCTCTCTCTCTCTCTCTCTCTCTCTCTCTCTCTCTCTCTCTCTCTCTCACACACACACACACACACACACACACCCCTAAAAATAACAGTTTGGCACTTAGCAGCTTTTGTTATTGCATCCCATATTAAGCTGCAAATTTATTTTATAAAACATTAATTTCTGCAGCCATAGTGTCAATGAACTGAAGTGAAAACCCGTTTGTTTGTTTGTTTGTTTGTTTAAGTGAACTGACCAAGTCAACAGGCACTAGTGACATCACTATTGGACCCATGACTCTAAACAAGGAACTGTCTCCTTGGAGAGGCCTGAAGCACACTGAGAATTTTAAACTTCAGGAGTTTAAACAAACAAATAAACAACAACAACACAACAAATAAAAACCAAAACAGAGCAGTTACCACAGCTGTCCTGCGTCGGTTTCTCTCTGCTCTGGCAGGCCATGGCTCTGTCCTGTGCAGGTATTTCACCAAAGTCAACTCGCCCTTCTGGCAATTTCTCTGCTGTGGCTTCCTCGATGGAAAGCAACATGGCTGATATGCAACATAATCCACTGACTGACAATAAATGTGACTGGATGGGATGGCGTGGATGTGTGGCACATCCGGCCTAGAGCAAAGGATAAAAACTTAGACCTTCTCTTGCCAAGTTGCTTCTGGCCACAGCTGAGTTAGGAAGCCACGCCCAGCCCTTTTTACACCCACCCTCCGGGTTCTTCTCCCCAACTTTTTATAATGCCGACCACTCGAGACAGGTATAGGAAAATCCCTGCGGAGAAGCCATGCCTTTTCAGGTCCACAGGCGGGGGGAAAGAGGATTAATGTTTCATATGCAATTTAATTGCATATAAACATCTCACGTAGGAAGTTTCTAGAAGAAATTCCTGTTCTCCAATTTATAACCAAAGGATGTACTTATACATTTAGCAATCACTAAGATACAATGTTGCCTCTTCTAGCCAAGAAAGAAACTTGTAGAAAACAATTAGAAACGAGGAACTCTGTATCAAGTTGACTAGAAGTTTGATATTGCATACAACTCACACTATCAAGTAATGGAGTACACTCCAGTCCCTGACTTCACACCAAGGGGGCATAATCTGAATGGAAAACAGTATCTTATGAGATAAATTCCACCAACTAAAGATTGGTTTGTTTTTACTAATGGGAAATGGGAAGGAGGGCGGAAGTGGCAATGAGTGATGGGGAAGGAGGGAGAAAGGAAGAGGGCACTAACGGGAACAGAATGAAATTAAGTTGAGGTAGTTTATTCTACCAGCCAAACATTACTGGGAGTGAAAGTCATCTAAAACTACCAGAGAACGGCTTTGGGGGCAGCCTGTTACAAAGACGAGATTCCAAACACACCTGCATTCGAAGATAAGTTTGTAATGTCTAAGCAGCAGTAAACAGGACTTCGTGTGCTTTCCGACAAGGTAGAAGAAGGTTTGATTCCTATGGACGTCACCTGGACAGCTTTTTTGTGTTTTGAGTTGCAGCAGACCTCTGTCATTTGCTCCACTCTGAAGTCTCCTCTGTGCTACCAGCCTGGAGTTTGCTTTTCCAGGTAGAAAGAAAGAATGGTACACGCTCCCTCCCAAGCTCACAGCGCCCCCAGAACTCTCTCAGAACGCAGGGTCTTTTATAGCGAGCGATTCCTTTAAGCTCATATGGGGCTGCGGACTTGAGCTCTTTGGGCAACTGAAAGATTGTTGTCAGAGAGGAGTTTTATCTCAGTCTCAGTGCATCAGAATATAGTTCTTAAAGAATCTTAAGACAGAGGACTAGTAATAAATGGGAACTAACTGGCACAAACCTCAGTTTACTGAGTGTGGTTAGGCATCTACCCCTCCACACCATACAAGGACAGCCTTGTGTGCTGGGGATGTTGGCTTGCATATATGGGTTCTGTTGTTTGTCTACCTCAGCCACATACACTGGGACACAGTCAGTTAGGTAAGAGTTCCCTTCTGGGAATACGCACCTTAGGGCTTTAACTCTGATATTTCACATGACACCAACCCCCCACTCCCTCCTTTTGACATTCACTAGCCTCCACGGTTTACAAACGCATCGGGCTGGAGGAACTGATTCCTCCCGGGTAGTTTTTCAACAGTTACATGGTCTCCAAACAAGAGCAGAAGCCCAAGTTTCTAAGCATTAAAAAACCACCGAAGAGTAACCATACTGATGCCCAGCACACAGCAAGATGGAGCTGCTTCTCTGTGCTTGCTGACGACCAGCCACGAGATGCGCTTGGGGCAGGACCTCGCTTTTGGCTCCTCTTCCTCTTCAAGGGGAATGGACCCGGATGCGGAACAAGCCTTGCTGCAGCTGCAGACGGAAGAGCTTGCAGTTGGCGATGCGCAAAGCTGCGCAGCCTGTGCGCCGAAGGTCGGATGGCAGGAGTGGCTTCGTGTGGTGCCAGGTGCCCGTGCTTCTCTTAAACTCACGCACGTAGTCATAGTTGGTACCTAGACCCAGAGAGGGGGCAGAGCTGAGCTGGTGCACCTGAGCCCCTGGAAGCAGCTCCCGAGAAACCCCCGCAGCTTTCTCACCTGTGTCAAGGTCTCCGATAACATAAATACTGGCTCCTATGGGGACAGCGCCATACACAAAGGATGAACTGGCAGGAATGCATAGGTTCTGATCGTTAAGATAGATCCACCTGGAAGCAAGGCCAACAGACACAACTCAAGAAATCAAAAGAACAAATGGGGACAGTGCAGCTTGGCAAGACACTGTGCACTGCCACTCTCGACCCCCACTCCACTTGCAAGAACCGTGGCTGTGGTGACTGTCGAGACAGACAACAAAGGCTCCCACAGTGACTGCCACAGAGCAGGACTGCCTCTGCCCAGCACCACAGCTCCTGACTCATTCATGTGTGGCTTACTCACATACTACTGCTCCCCCCTTTTCAATTTTTAATTGTGTGTGTATGTCTGTGTGTAGGTATGTGCATACACATGACTGAAGTGCCCATGGAGGGCAGAGGACAAAGCCAAACCCCCTGGAACTGCAGTTACAGGCAACCGTGAGCCCCTCTGATGTGGGTGCTGGGAACTGAACCCCAGCCCTTTTCAAGAGCAGCAAGTGGTCTTCATCACTGAGCATCTCTCCAGCCCAGGGATATGCTTAGTGTTAAAGTTCCAGCACACTTGCTAGCACTCATCTGGATGCCTTCTGGCTTGGGCTGCTGTAATGACAACCATCAGGGACATTAGGTGAGCCTGAGCCTTGTTTGGTTCTGGTTTTTGGTGGGCTTCCAGAATGGCTGGATTCTGCAGAAAGGGCATGTGGCATGTGATGAGAAAATATCCCTCTTACTCAAAATACAATGCTGCTCTGTCTTCTAGTTAGCGAGGCGTGGGAATCCCAGCTGTTCATGCTCACTGGGTCTTGGTGCCCTCAGTCCTTTGAAGACTGAGCCACTATAACAACAAGAATTCCCTTAAGTCTAATTGTGCTGGGGATTTTGGCACACATTTACTGGGTACTTTTATGCACCTTCTTTTGCAAAAATTTGCTCATTTTAGAGAACACACACACAAATAAAAATAAGATAAGCCCTTTTAAAAAAGGCTTTCTAGGGAAAAACCTGACTAACCTTCAAGGGTCAAAGTCAGGAAAGACAGGGGCTATCACAGGCTAAGGGGCAGCAAGGAAACACAGCACCTGTTGGCAACTGCAATCCAGGTTGAACTGAGGCAAGGGACATGTTGGCAGAGAGCAGGTGACTTTGCTGGCAGTCTGTACTTTAGGCTAGCCCTGCATAGCTTTGACACTAGGTTCTGGTCAACGGGGACACTAGCATTAGAAGGCAAACGTAGGACTTACGGGAATACCCTGACTTTATGAGACTTTTCTAGAGGCCTAAAATGGCTGCAGGGGCTGGAGAGATGGCTTGGGGGTTTAGAGCATTGGTTGTTTTTACAGAGGATTCAATTCAGTGTCCAGCACCCACATGGTGGCTGACAGCCATCTGAAATTCCATTTCTAGGGAATCTGATGCCCTCTGCTGACTGCCACAGGCACACACATGGTATACATATAATACAGGCAAAACACTCATAAACAGAAATACATATAAAAATTACTGCAAACAGATATGGCTCAGTTAGTAAAGGTGTTTGCTGCTCAACCTGTTGCCTTAGTTTGATCCTTGGGATCCACATTGAAGAATCAACTCCTGCAAAGGTTGCTCTCTGACCTTCCTATGAGATAGATAAAATCGAGGCTTTGCCATGCAGTAACGTTCACTCAGGAAACCATGGACCATTTCCCACTAATAGCTTATAGGCATGCCAAATCATAGCCACCGCCTAAGCAGCCCTGAGGCCTCACTGTCGAGGATGGCGCATGCACTTCAGTGGACACTTTGGCCTCTCCACTCTGCACAGCAGCGAAGGAGCCTGTGTAGCAAGCGAGTGAACTCTGAAGTCAAACCACCATAGGAACATCTCACTTTGACTTCAATGAACTCTTCCCTGGCTGTTAGGAAACAGCTTCCTTATTTTGAATTCCAAGAAACAAGGAAACAAGATTATTTACCCAAGATTATAAAATAAAGCTAAGCCACCACCACATATCCCTGCCCCTCTCCTGTCTCACCTTCCCTCTTCCTTTCCCTTCCTCTGAGACAGGGCCCCGGCTGGTCTCTAACATGCTAAGCTGCCAAGGATGACCTTAACTTCTCATCCTTCTACCTCATGAGTTCTGGATAACAGGCTGAGTTATGGGGTACAAAGGATGGGCCCCAGGGCTCCATCATGCTCTCTTCTGAGCCACATCCCCAGTCTATGATCACTTGGTTTGCTGGGGCTAAGAATATGGACTTTGGGCTGGAGAGATGGCTCAATGGTTAAGAGCACTGCCTACTCTTCTAAAGGTCCTGAGTTCAATTCCCAGCAACCACATGGTGGCTCACAACCATCTGTAATAACATCTGGTGCCCTCTTCTGGCCTGAAGGCATGCCTACAGGCAGAATACTGTATACACAATAAATAAATCTTGGGGCTGGAGAGATGGCTCAGAGGTTAAGAGCACTGACTGCTCTTCCAGAGGTTCTGAGTTCAATTTCCAGCAACAACATGGTGGCACATAGCCATCTGTAATGAGATCTGGTGCCCTCTTCTGGCAAACATACAGACAGACAGAACACTGTATACATAATAAATAAATATTAAAAAAAATATGGACTTTGGCCTCACAAATGTTAAGCATCTACCTACTGAGCCATATCCCAGCCCAATGCCTGCTGTTCTCAGAGTCCTTCTCATCCTTTGTCATTGCGGGTCAATAATTATAGACATTATTGCATTTTCTCTGTTTAGATTACAGTGTGGTTTCTGCCTCCAGGCTGGACCATGACTGAAAGTGATGAGGTCAAGAGCAAGGTTCACGCTGGGCAGTGGTCTCAGCACTTGGGAGGCAGAGGCAGGTGGATCTCTGTGAGTTCGAGGCCAGCCTGGTCTACAGAGTGAGTTCCAGAACTGGCTCCATAGCTACTGGAAAGCCCTGTCTGGGAAAAACAAAAACAAAACAAAGAAACAAACAAAAGAATACCCCACAAGTCTTACTGAGTGAGCTGCAGCGCTCCCTTCTTCCAACCATGAGGTGCGAATGAAAGGACATGCTCAGCAAGGGCAGGCAGTGTGCTTTTCCGCAGAATGTCAGGATGACCAAGTCAGCCCTGAGACCACACTGCGCAGGTTAACTGCTGGCCCTGCCTTCTAAGACCAAGACAGAAAAACTTCTCTGTTGAGCCATGCAAACAGGACGAAGAGGAAACACCAGCTAGCTCACAGCTGCAGAGCAAGGATGGGATGGGAAGACACACCACATCTGGACAGCCATGGCGACCAGCCCAGTCACCCAGCACAGCTGGGGACAGTGCACACATTTTCCTCCCCCACTCTCCCTCCTAAGTTTGCAGTATGTATCGATGTTAGTTTGAACTAAAACTTCTCCTGTTTCAGCCTTCTGGGTACTAAGATTACAGTGTATTCCACCATGCCCAGTCTTTTCTACCTTTTCTAAGAGAATTAATGGAGGACAGGTTTCACACACCTGTATTTTTTTTTTCTGCCAGTTCCTCTTGGATACAGTGGGTTTCTTGTCTTTGGACGGCAGAAGAAATCCAGGGATTGAGTTAGTCCTTCTTGCCACATGACCCCCTGTCCAAGGGTCACCAGCCTCTGCCCAGGTGTCAAGCATCCCTTTTCTATTGTACACTCAAAGATGAAAGGGTGGCATTGGCAACACAACTTCAAAGTTAACACAAGGACCATGTATCAAGGCAGGAAACTCAGGCAGAGGTGAAAGGACAGGACTCGGGAAAGGAAGACGCCACAAGAGAGGCCTCAGCCTCAGGACAGAGGACACTCAGCCGGCAGCAGTGCCTGCTTCCCCTTGCAGAAGCTGGGAAGGGGGATGCATGTCCACACTGCTCTGAGGGGAGGAAGAGTCCATGGCGGGGGCAGCAGGGGAGAAGGTGGGTGCCCAAGAGACCCCCCTGTCAAGGTGAAAGGTAAAATGTGGCAGTGGCCTGAGAGTGAGAGAACGGGAGGATCCTGTCAGAGTGTGGGCACAGCTGGGAAGAGGGCACAGAGAGAAATACCACAGGTCCCTGTTCTCTGGGTGTCATGTGCCATTACCATGACTCAGGAGTAACTTGTGGCCTTATTTATTTATTTATTTAAATTCAGAAACCACAGAAAACAGTAAGATATGGCATTTCCCCAGGAAAGCTTTAACCTAAAAATAGGGAACAAAGACAGGAAAGACAAGAGACTCCTACTATTGGAATGGTCTCCATGCTGACAGAGACCACACATCTGGCAGCAGCTCCCACGGCTGCGAGGAGAGCATACCCGGGAATGCTGCCCCACGGCTGGGCGCTATTTTTCTGCCAGGATTTATGGGAACAGAGTCAGGCCAGTAGGGTGGGTGCATGGGAGAGCCCTGCAGCCAGAAGTCTGAGCTGCTCGGGTTCCAGGTCTGCCGCATGCTCACCTCCCAGTGTCTGGTGTCGTTACATGTGACATGGCCTCAGAGAGGAACAGAGGAGCCCGGCAGAGGCCGAGCAGCATCTGGTGTTGCTCATGCTCAGTGTTTCACAAATGTGCAAACGTCCTGCAAGTCACTGACAAGAGGTCTTACCAGCTGCTTTCTGTTTATAAACTAACACTGGGAGCCTGGGAACACAGGCTGGAGATGTATGTATTTTATTTGAAAAAAATTTTCCCCCCGCAAGACACGGTTTCTCCGTGTAACAGCCCTGGCTGTCCTGGAACTCACTCTTTAGACCAGGTTGGCTTCAAACTCACAGAGATCCTACTGCCTCTGCCTCCCGAGTGCTGGGGTTAAAGGCGTGTGCCACCACGGCCTGGCGAAAAAAATATTTTAGGATGAAAGGTCGGTGGCTTGAAAGCAAATGGCCCCCCAAAGGGGGTGGCACTATTAGGGGGTATGGCTTTGTTGGAGTAGGTGTGGCTGTGTTGGAGGGAGTGTGTCACTCTGGAGGCGGATTTTGAGGTCTCATATATGCTCAAGTCATGCCCAGTGTCTCAGACACTTCCCACTGCCTGCAAGATGTAGGACTCTCAGCTCCAGCACTGTGTCCCACTATGATAAGGGACTGAACCTCTGAACTATAAGTGAGCTCCCACAATTAAATGTTTTCTTTCTAAGAGTTGCTGTGGTCATGGTGTCTCTTCACAGCAATAGAAACCCTAATTGAGACAAAGCATTTTATTTATTTCTTGTGTGGATGTGGATGTATTCGTACGTGACGGTGCGTGTGCACATATGTGTAGGACGATGTCAGGCCTGGCTTTCATGTGGGTGCTGGGGATAGAATGAGATCCACATGTTTGAGCAGCGAGTGCTTTCCTAGCTGACCCACTTCTCCCCCACCCCCTTCTAAATACAGGCACGGGGCTGGGGAGGCAGATAGTGGTCAGAAGCTGACTGCTCTTTCTGAAGACCTGGGTTCAGTTCCCAGCACCCACATCTGGTGCTCGTAAATCCAGCTCCTGGGGAATCTCACACTGTCTTTTGACCTTCCTGAGTGCGTGCATATGCATACACACATACATAAATAATAAAAAATAAATTTAAAGCCAGGTATGGAGGCAGAGGCAGACAGATCTCTGTGAGTTTAAGGCAAGCCTGGATTATACAGAGTTCCACTTTAGTCAGGGCTACAGAGTGAGACCTTCAAGAAAAGATAAAAAAGAAAAAGGAAAAAAAGGAAGGAAGGAAGAGAAGACAAATGGGAAAAAGGAGCACTGGTTCCACTCATAGGGCCGCAGTTCGGTACTACGAGCAGGTCGTCAAGTTTACCAACAACAAAGATGCTGTGGGTGACTGGCAGGAACGCCAGGGTTCTAGAACGCAGAATGCCCCGGGACAGCTGGGAAGCTTTACAGCCAGATTTGTGTTCCACCCAAGGCAGCAGACAAAATGAAGAAGGAACGTCAGCAAGCGACTGCAGACAAGTTGCAGCTCACAGTGACTACACACTGAGTCAGTCGTCATGAAGAGAGGGTTGTGTCAGTGTTTATCCAAAGCCAAACATGCTGCTACTGTCTGTTAATCAAGCGGGACAGACTGTCTCACACTCATCTGGGGGAGAGATTAATACACTATTTCCTACTGCGGCAGCCGGCCCCCACAGTAGCGTATCAAAGAAGAAATGTAGCAAGCCGCTGATATCCTCTGCCCACCCCCACAGAGCAAATACCGTCTAAACGGCTTCATTTTCTGTCTAGTAAATTCCCCTGGCAGTCTACTCCGAGTAACGGGAAGCAAAAGCATCTCTGAAAATATCCTGGAGGGAAAGCGCGTGGCAGACTGGGCGACATTTATATGCGTGTCTAACGCCTGTTACCTGCTCATTCTTCTCCCAATCTCAAAGGCAGGAAATGAGATAACATTTATCTTACGGCTCCCCGCTCTGGTAACATGAACATGACCGAAGCACGTAAGATCAGCCATGACCTTCTGTGGGGATCTGAACCAGTCATGGCAGTGAGAACACTGCCTCGTGCTTATGAGGGGAAAGTGTGTGAGAGGAAGAGACAGCACCTACCACAGAAACATGCCATGGCCTGGCAGGTATTTTAGAAAATGTTTTCCTTAAGCTGGACATGGTGGCACACGTCTTTAATCCCAGTGCTTGGGAGGCAGAGGCAGGTGGATCTCTGTGAGTTCGAGGCCAGCCTGGTCTACAGAGCTAGGGCAAGCTTCAAAGCTACACAGAGAAACCCTGTCTCCATTTCCACTGCTGTCTCTCTGCTTCCAATTGTCAGATCAAGATGTGAGCTCTCAACTGTTGCTGCTGCCCTGCCCTTTTCCCCACCATGAAAGCTAGCCCTCTGAAACTGTAAGCCCAATTAAATGTACTCATGTCTTATCACTGCAAGAGAAAAGCAACTAAGGCACTCCTCAACTTCTGAAGTCACTGAAAAAATATCTAGTACATACTGGACATACTCCCTAAACAGAGAATTCAGAGCAGTCACTAGAAATCAAAGCTGAGACACATCTCTGAAAGCACCGAGGGCAAGGACAGATATGAGGGCCTCAAGACTGTCCAATTCACAGAGGGAGAGAACTCGGGCAGAAGCCTCAACACTGCTTACCTCTTAAACTCGTCGTGATAGAACTCAGACTTGCAGGTGACCATCTCACTGCCCTGGATGTCCTCTCGACTTCTGACGCCTCCGAATACATACAGCTCCATGGCAACACCGCAGGCCACTGCTCCAAACCTGTAGGGCCACAGACACAGGTGCGGGCTCAGAGCTCAGGACCTCAGCCCTAAGTCCTCTACTACTTGTTCTTCTGTCTGCTGGTCTCTTTGAGACAGGGTCTCATTACGTACCCAGGGTACGCTGGAACTCATTATGTGGACCATACCGGCCTTGAACTCACAGCAATCCTCTTGCCCCAGCAGTCTCCCAAGTGCTGGGATGACAGGCAGGTACCACCATGCCCAAGTAACCCAACTGCTTTTTGTCTTCACGTGTTTAGGCACACCTGTGTGTGTATGTCGAGGCCCTAAGACCGACATCAGTAGTAATTTCTGGATTTCTTATTTGCTAAGGCAAGATCTCTCAACTGAACCCAGAGTTTGCTAACTTGGGTTAGCTGGACTTGTCTAGAAAGCCAGCTTCCTCAGAAACGCTTGTTGTCTCTGCCTTTCCAGTGCCGGGCCTGCCTACCTGGCACTGACTCAGGTTCCGGGGATCTGAACCCTGGTCCCGACACTGTGCAGCACACCACACACTCTAACACTGAGCTCCCTTCCCAGTCTCTATTGCTTGTTGTAATGGCACATGGGCCTTCTGTTTTAGGAGATGCCGTACTCTGAGGCCTCAGCTCCATCAAGTGGCACACTGAGGGGCACGCAACACACACTCTGCCTCACCTCCTCTCTTTCAGTGGACATATGGCAGTCCACTGCTGGGTCCGGGGATCGTAACACTCCACAGACTCAAACAATTTTCCATATGATCCTCCACCCATGGCATAGATTTTCTTTTTCATAGCTGCATAGCAGCCAATCTGAAAGAAAAAAATAACCACAATGGCAGGGAGAAGTACCATTTGTCATTGGAACTGGATGAGCAGACAGCTACTGACGCAGAGAGCATGGTCACATGCATAGGACAAGTGCTGACTCCTAAGAGCAAAACAATGACACCTCTTCACATGACCCCACAGGGCTTGGGAGGTGGAGAGAGCTGGAGGCACGTACTGGAAATCCCCAGAGAAGGAGTCTTCCTCCATCTTCAGCAAAGAAGCAGTAACTATACTTTTTGTGAGGCCATGCCGGGCCGGTGTTCTGCCACGAAACTGGACCCTAGCCCCTAATCTTATAAAGTATTTTTTTTTTTTTTTTTTTGCCCTGGCTCTCTTCTTCCACCGTTTGGAAGCTTGGCAGCAAGTGCCTTTACCCACTGAGCCATCCTGATGTCCCCATAATATATCTGACTTTTCACGGGAGCTTTGAAAACCGGGATGGCTGAGATGGGAGTAGAAGGGGCTTTCCAGCATCCGTCTCCTTTCACCAGTATTTGAGTTCCCAAGAGTTAAGATTCTTGGAACAGCCGGGCGGTGGTGGCGCACGCCTTTAATCCCAGCACTCCGGAGGCAGAGGCAGGCGGATCTCTGTGAGTTCGAGGCCAGCCTGGTCTACAAGAGCTAGTTCCAGGACAGGAACCAAAAGCTACGGAGAAACCCTGTCTCGAAAAAAAAAAAAAGATTCTTGGAACAATGAGCTGCTCAGTCGCTGTCACATGCTCTCATTGGACGGGTACACAGTAAGAGAAGACAGGATATCCAGATGGCTTGACGGACAGCTCTGCCTGTGACCTGAGGCTAAGTGAGGGAGGCTCACGGGAGGAAGCCACTACAGTTTTTTTTACTTGTAGAGGGCATGAGGAATGCAGGGGAGATCAGGCTATCCACAAAGTATTTTCTACAGACCCTGCAAGCCAGCACTGCTGCTCGGAGGTAGACTAACACTCACACGGGCTCTTTCCACTTGGGACGTGTAACTGCTGACATGAAGGCAAGCTGCCAGCAGAGATCTGTCTAGAATTCTCGAGCCTTGATCCTCTCGGCATTGTTCAAAAGCATACTGAATAATGAAGATGTGTGCTGGGGACTTTGTGTAGCAGAAGAACACTATGTGAATCCCTGGGTATGAGCCTCCCCACTGTAACAACCATCCCCAGGAGGAGACACTGACTTTGGAGTCAGCTTGCAAAGACACCAGCTACCGCAGCCCGTTGCACTCACCTTTCTAACCATGGTCAAGTCAGGTTGCTTTGTCCAGGTTTTTGAATAAATATCATAACACTCCATGGAAATCAACTCCCGGTCACCATCCTCCCCTCCAAGGATGTACAGCATCCCATCTATCTCCACGATCCCAAAGTTGTGTCTTGCCTGGAAAGATAGCACAAAACTTTGTAGGAGAAAGTGGATGTTCAAAGTTTGCTAAATGTCACAGGCACTGTCTTATTCCAGCATCCCAGCAGAGAAGAGCCTGTGATAATCTTTCTCCTCGGAACTATTATGTGTGGCTTCCTCAGCACAACAGACAGAGCTAATCACTCCTCAGGACCAGGGACCAAAGATGCAGGCTCAGAGATTCTGTGCTTAACCTACAGAACTCAGAAGAACGCCTGCCTCCCAGGATAACTAAATCTGTGGCATTGATTCTGAGCACTTATAGGCAGGCAGGCTTCCGAGGAGACTGTGACAGATGACAAAAGCCAGGTACTGTGGACTATTGGTGGCCAGGATTGGCCCTCGTGGGGAACAGGGCATGCCAGAGTATCAGGAAGCCAGAGGTGCTTATCATTCGCCCGCAGCCCAAACAGAACATAACAACTTCAGGGCTTGTGGAGTCTCTGTAGGAACACGAAAAACCAGCGTGTGCAGAGGTGGGAAACAAGAGAGGAAGGAGGCTAGGGCAAGCAACAGGGAGGTGGTGCTAGGCAACAGGCCACGAGGAGGCGGGGTAGGAAAAGGCAGGAGAGGCAATGAGAGAAAGCAGGGCTCCAGGCAGCGGGCTGCTTCTTCTTTCTGTGCACACATTAATAAAGGTGCCGTGGAGAAAAGAAACACCTTGGAGACAAACTGCGCCGTACCTCATTCATGGGCGGGAGAGGAGTCCACGTGTTGGCGTCTGGGTCGTACTTCTCTCCCGAGCTCAGTGTCTGCTTATTTTCGTCTTGGCCCCCCAACACAAACAAAAACCCTTCTGAAGAAAGCACAGGGGACACACAGGACACCTTCAGCAAGTGCTATGGTGCATTTAGAGCTCCCCTCCCCACCCCTCACAGTCTTCTTGTTCCCTGGTGACAGATCCAAACTTATTAGTCACTCTGGCCATTCTACTTAACTCAATACTGTCGTTGTTTGTTTGTTTGTGTTTTTCGACACAGGGTTTCTCTGTGTAGCTCTGGATGCCCTAGAACTCGCTCTGTAGGCCAGGCTGGTCTCGAACTCACAGAGGTCTGCCTGCCTCTGCCTCCCAAGTGCCGGGATTAAAGGCGTGCGCCACCACCGCCTGGCTCAACTTTCTTTTTTAAAATTATATTTGACACTTTTTTCTTCCGTCTCCCGAAAAGGTAGCTTCTCCTCTCTTCTCCTCCCCCTTCCTCTCTCTGTTTCTCTCTCTCTGTGTTTTTTTTCTCTCTCTCTCTGTGCCTGTCTCTCCTCTTCCCCTTTCCCTCCATAACCCACTGAATAAACTATACCCGAACCCTCAAAAAAAATTACATTTGACATTGTACACATTCTCTCTCGTGAGTGTGGCTCTCAGCCTCGTCAAAGAGGCTGCTGTCTAGAGGCTAGAGCAGTGAGTACCACTGGCCAGACTGCAGGAAGTAAATGACCATAGGGTGCCTGACCTTAACTGGGACATCACAACACAAGCCCTGCATCTAAGGCTCAGAGGACATCATGGAAGAGAGGGTGGGGACAGATGGGCCAGGACATCTGCTACGAGACAGTGTCTTCTAGACAGGAAGGGAAGCTGCACCAGCGAACTCTCAACAGCTGGGTTGCCTACACAAGACCACAACTGTCCACAGCCAACACAGTAGGGGAAAAATCTCATAAGGCTCCGTGTGCTACAAGAGGAAGTTCTAGAGGCAGCTAGATAGGTTTCCCAATCCTAAGTGGTCAACCCTAGATACACGTACATACAGACAACATTGACTCAGGAGATTACACATACATATGTATATGTGCATGTGTATGTACATATATATATTTTACAAAAGGTCATTAATTTGAGATGGAGTCATGGTGGAACACAGAAGAGTTGGCGTGAGAAGAGGAAAGGATAGGAACAGTATAAATATAAAATGTACTCATGAATGGTATTCTCAAAAAATTAAAATTAAAAGTTTCAAGTGCGTGTGTGTATGTGTGTATGTACGTGCATGTGCACAAGCCACGAATCACATATGAAGGTCAGAGAACAACTTGCGGGAGTTGTTTCTCTCCTTCCACTGTGTGAGCCCCAGGGATTGAACTCAGGTCCTCAGTGATGGCAAGTGCCTTTTCCCACCTTGTCCAGCCTGACTGATTTAAACCTCCTGCTTGTCTAGAAAGTTTCAAGCTTGAACTCAATTTTGGAAACACAGTATTTTCCTGCAATTATCAGAAACGAATGTCAAACCTCTACTGAAGAAAGAGGGCACTTTCTTGCAAGCCCAGGCTACCTGACATGTTGCAAGGCATTAATTGCTCCTGTGAAGAAGAACATCCAGCGAAGCTCTCAGGCACATCAGGAAACATGGTCCCATGGAGTGAGAGCAGAAACAAGCACTGGCAACGGGGTTGCCAAGACTCGACTGGATAACTAGAGAAGGCAAAGCAGCAACCCTTGCCACAACAGGAAAACGTAACTACAAAATGAGTGTACACTGAGCAAAGAGTCACAGAGAAACAGAAACAGAAAAGCCCCATGGATGGACCAATAGATTCTCAAAGCTGAAAAGTCACAGAAGATAAATCAAAAGCCACCATCAAACCAGCAAGAGAGAGACAGAAGCCAGAAGCTGAGACGAGCAAGCAGAGAATGGAGGAGAAAGGTCTGACATGCTTGGCAAGACTTCTGAGAGCAGAGGCAGCACAGGCAGGAGGCCAAATGGATGAAGACGAGAAGGGCAGGTGAAATGGCTTAGCAGGAAAAAGAGCTTGCTGCAAAGGCTGATAACCTGAGTTTGCTCCCTGGAACTCATGTCACCACACCAGGTGGTGATGGAGCCCAGAGTCTGGCCACACTACTGTAGGGCCACACTCCCTATCTTTTTTTTTTGGAGACAGTATACAACTACATATCCCTACTAACCTAAATTTGTTAGGTAGACCTGGCTGGTCTCGGACTCAGAGATCCTCCTGCCTCTGTCTCCCAAGTTCTGCGATTAAAGGTGTGTGTCACCACACCAGGAAAAAATGCGCCTGCGCGTCTGCATAGGCCGGAAACGACATACTCCTTGGTCAGGGCTCTGCTAGAGCTAAGCGGAGCGTACCTGCTGAGAGAACGCCATGGTTAATTCTGGGCATGCTCAGAGGGGCCAGTTCGATCCACAGCTGCCGATTAGGGTCGTAGAGAGGGCACATACATCGCATGGCGGCCGTGGGTTTCCGTGAACTAAGGAAATACACAATTGATGTCTTACATTTCTGTTCACAGTCGAACCCCACGGTCAATGTCAGAGGTCGACACACGGTTAACCATCTCAGAAAGCCAATTACTGTCACATTTTGGCCCAGAATATTACCTTGCATTTCTTGTGTGTTGTAACTCCCCCTCCCCCTACACCCCTCTCCCAAGGCCCCTGCCACACTCACACTCTTTCCTCCCCTCCAATGGTCACTATGCACTCTGAGTAGCCCCTCGGCTTGAAGCTGGCCAGCATGGCCTCCCCCTGCTGCGGCTGGCTGAGCGGGATGTTGCTGCACTCCTTGACGATTTCCCGTACCAAAGGCTCATTCAGCATCTGCTCCCGCAGGTAGCTGGAGTCCAGCCCTGAGACCCACAGTGCTGACATGACATCCTTCATGTGGACCTGCAGAGGGAGGAGGAGCAACAGGAGAGGGATGACACGGGTATCCGAAACACACCTCCTGACTCTCAGCAGATGGCGGCCCTAACAGTCAATTGGCAGACACCGGCACTCCTTGCAGTGCCTGAATATGCACACCAGCCCGCTCTTTTCCTCTTCTTAAAAAAAAAAAAAAAATTTAATTTAATTTTTATTATTTTACGTGTATGAGTGTTTTGCCTGCATGTATGTCTGTGCACCACACACAGGCTGGTGCTCACAGAGGTGGTGAGCCTCCATGGGGGACTGGGAATCGAACCTGGGAGCTTTGCAAACACAAATGCTCTTTACCACTGAGCCAGCTCTCCAGTGCTGAAGAGTTTATTTTTATTCATGTGTGTATTCCTGTGGGCTAGAAGATGACATCCAGCTCTCTGGAGTTCGAGTTACTGGCTGCTGTGAGTTGTCCAATGTGGCTGCTGGGAAATCAAGTTGGGTCCTCCTCTGCAAAAGCAGCAAGTGTTCATAATTGCTGAGCCATTTCTCCAACTCCCCCTTTTAAATAAAGCTTTATTATTTTATTTTTAATTATCTATGTTGTATAGGTGTCTACAGAACAGAGAGCCACCAGAGTCACTGGAGCTGGAGTTACAGGTGGTTGTGAGCCGCCTGATAGATGCGCGTCCTCTGCGAGAGCAGCACTCCTTCCTAACTGCTCAGCCACTTCTCTGGCCACCCCCACCTCTTTTCTTTCTTTTGAGACAGTGTCTTGCTATGCAAGCCCACCATCCCCCTGCCTCAAGACTCCAAGTCCTGGGATTACAGTGTGTGCCACTTTGTTCTCCTCTCCTTTTTGATTTTTCTTGCTGCCCACAGTCTCTGGGAATAAAGGTTTAATACAAAAAAAAAATTGTATTTGTATTGCAAAGTTCCAAAAAGTTTCCACACACTGAAGTGTCCAACGCCAGTGGGTTCATGAAAGCGGCCACACTGCTTCATCTCACTGTCTGGATGGACGGTGACTAAGCCACTCACGGAAACACCAGAATGGTTATAATGAGTACTGTATGGTAAACATTAATATTGTAAGAAAATCAGCAAAGCCAAAGGTAAAAAAAAAAAAACAACAACCCAGAATTGTATAATAATTCATGCAATGATCATGGTTCAAAACTACCTGACAGCTTCGGGTAATTTTGGGTCTCTGACTCTTGGGCATGCTCCGGATGATTATGGCCATAGACTTGATCTGTGGTTAAGGGGACACTATTGAGTAACTTAAAACATACTTTCCTATGCTCTGAGAGGCTAGATTAATCAAAGCTCAGAGAACTGCCCCGCTCCCAGGTCACCCTGAGCACAGTGAGCACCCTGAGCAAGTGGATGACCCAACACAAGTCAAGGAGGACTAGTGCCTCCTAGTGGCTTCTATGAGTACCTCCCTTCCTCAAGTACCTACCATGGAGCAGAACGCTAGGTGCCTACTTGCGTACAAGTAGTGTACAAGCGTGGTTGTACACCCTCACAGGCTTACAAAATTTAAAAACTACAAGATAATCACTCAGAACTGAGTCAGTCATTGCCAAGAACAATGAACGGTGTAGTGATGCACTCCAAGGTCTACTCTCTGAAACCAGCTCAATACATTCTTATTTTGAAACAAGCAACTGGAGAGAATTGAAAACAAGCCAGATCCCCCGTTGGATCCCAATGGGGACCCATAGGCTGATGCTCTCTAGGACCCTCCCCCAACTTCTCCATTCTGTTTTTGTTGATATTTGCTTGTATATTACTTTTCAAACAGAATCTCACATAGCTCTGGTTGTCCCAAAGCTTGTTATGTTGATCAGGATGACCTACAATACAGAGATTCACCTGCTTCTGCCTCCTGTGTGCTGGGATTAAAGGCATGTGGTATCCAGCCTCCCTGTTTAACTAATTACAATTTCTTTCTTTTTCTTTTTACATCCCAACCAAAGTTTCCCCTCTTCCCTCTCTTCCCATTCTACTCCTCCTGTTTCTGTTCAGAAAGGGGCAGACCTCCCATGTGTATCAACCAAGCATGGCATATCAAGTTGTCGTCAGACCAAGCACCTCCCCTTGTATTTAGGCTGGGCAAGGCAATCCAGTATGAGGAGTAGGGTCCCAGGAGCCAGCCAAAGCACTAGGGACAGTCCCTGCGTCCATTTTCAGGGTCCCACAAGTATACCAAGGTACACAACTGTCACATATATGTAGAGGACTACAATTTAAAATATTTATTTATTTATTATGTATACAATATTCTGTCTGTGTGTATGTCTGCAGGCCAGAAGAGGGCACCAGACCTCATTACAGATGGTTGTGAGCCACCATGTGGTTGCTGGGAATTGAACTCAGAACCTTTGGAAGAGCAAGCAATGCTCTTAACCACTGAGCCATCTCTCCAGCCCCGAGGACTACAATTTAAATTGAGTTTGTGTGTGTGTGTGTGTGTGTGTGAGAGAGAGAGAGAGAGAGAGAGAGAGAGAATATGAATGTGGTGCACTCACGCCATGGAGTATGTGCAGAGGACCACGTTCAGTTGTTAGTTCTCCCTTTTACCTTGCTTAAGGGGTCTCTCTTGTTTCTGCTGTGCTGTATACTCCAGGCTGGCTGGTATATGAGATTACAGGTGAGTCTCCTGTCGGTACCTCCCATCTCACTGTAGGGGCACTGGGGTTATAGATGTGCACTGCTGCATCCTGCTATCCATCTATCTACCTACCTATCATCTATGTAGCTATCATCTGTCTATCTATCTGCCTGCCTATCTATCTATCTATAAGTTTTTCAGGATAGTGTTTCTCTGTGTTGTCCTGGCCATCCTGGAACTCACTCTGTAGATCAGGCTGGCTTTGAACTCAGACATTTACCATTTACCTGCCTCTGTTCCCCCCGCCCCACCCCGTAGTGCTGAGATTAAAGGCATGTGCCACCACCATCTGGCACTGGTCTTGCTTTTTTAACACAGGTTCCAGGGAATGAACTCAGGGTGACGGGTTTGAGCTGGAAGCCATCTTCCCAGAGTGCCACACACTCCCTGCATGGTGTCAGTCACTCCAGGAAAAGCCTCAGAAGAGCTCTTTTGCCAGACTCCATGCTCCACTCCTCCCTGCCGGTGCAGTGCCTCGTGAGAGGCTGGCCTGACACTTCCCACAGCAAAGGTTCCGTTGCAGCTCAGAAAACTCCAGCTTAAACTACATTTCACCATTAAAAGCAATGTATGACGCAGAGTATGGCTTTAGAGGTGCCCAGCGTATTGTGAAGTACACGGGCCTCCCTCTCAGGCTGTCTCTGGGGGCAAATGTGAGGACCCAAGTCTCCTCGGGGATATTAGGTTAAATAATGTGAAAGCACTTCACTGCTCATGTTTTGTTTTCTGAGACAGGGTTTCACTATGTAGCCTTGTTTGGCCTGAACTCACACGGAGACCAGACTGGCTCTGAACTCAGAGATAATGTCCATCTCTGTCTCCAAAGGGCTGGAATTAAAGTATCCGCCCATACCCAGATAAGCATCCCTTTATTTTTATTTTTCCTCCTAATCAGCTCAGGGCCCTCTGACTCTAGTTGACAAGTTAGTCTCTTACCTGGCACCCTAGCTGCCCGGAGTAGAAACCATCAGCTAAGCAGCCAGTTAGGCCTTCTTCATGCCCTGCTTTAAATATTCTACAGATGCCTTTGGGAGGCATCATAGCTGCTGAACTGAGGGCGCTGCATGGCTGCCTCAGCTGCCTGCTGAACTGAGGGCGCTGCATGGCTGCCTCAGCTGCCTGCTGAACTGAGGGCGCTGCATGGCTGCCTCAGCTGCCTGCTGCTGAACTGAGGGCGCTGCATGGCTGCCTCAGCTGTCTGCTGCTGAACTGAGGGCGCTGCATGGCTGCCTCAGCTGTCTGCTGCTGAACTGAGGGCGCTGCATGGCTGCCTCAGCTGTCTGCTGAACTGAGGGCGCTGCATGGCTGCCTCAGCTGCCTGCTGCTGAACTGAGGGCGCTGCATGGCTGCCTCAGCTGCCTGCTGCTGAACTGAGGGCGCTGCATGGCTGCCTCAGCTGCCTGCTGCTGAACTGAGGGCGCTGCATGGCTGCCTCAGCTGCCTGCTGCTGAACTGAGGGCGCTGCATGGCTGCCTCAGCTGCCTGCTGCTGAACTGAGGGCGCTGCATGGCTGCCTCAGCTGCCTGCTGCTGAACTGAGGGCGCTGCATGGCTGCCTCAGCTGCCTGCTGCTGAACTGAGGGCGCTGCATGGCTGCCTCAGCTGCCTGCTGAACTGAGGGCGCTTCATAGCCATCTCAGTTGCCTACTGCTGAAGCACAAGTCTGCCTCCAGCAATCTCTGTCTTGGCCACAGCATTCTGACAGCCTGCACTGGACCCTTGTCCATCGAGCCTCACTAACTGCCAGCAGCCATTTTCACTCAGGCCAGAGGGGGAGCACTTCCTGGTGGGCAGCCTGAGGTTAGTGGGAACAGTCCTTCATTGGTATGAAGGTCTACCTTGAGTAGCACAAATACAGTCATCATGTTATTACCCCTCTGCACACACACACAAAGGGCCCTTCCGTGCATGGCCCTTCATTCCTGCCTTTGATCTTAATTGTTAGCCTAGGATGAACTGTGGCACAGAGAGAAGGGAATGGAAGAGAATAAGCTGGGGACAGCAATGCAGAGACAGCAGCAGTAAGACAGCTGAAGGGTCCATAACACGACCAGGATTGGGTGCAGGAGCTAACGAGGGCTGTAAAGAGCTAAAAAAGAGAAACTATTAGCCAAGTTACTGGAAGACTTCCAGAGAACTGCTAAGATGTAAACTCTGAGGGTCTCAGAGACCCTAGGCCTGAGAACCAGAACGCTCGCCTCTGTAGGAACTGAGGGTCAACACCTGAGGCCCTCAGAAGCTGTAACAGCTATAGGAAGGAACACCACTGCCCACTGCTGCTAGAAACCTAAGATGATAAAGCTGTCAAATGCCAGGACCACTGGTAATCAAAGCCCAAAGCAGTAAGCTTCCAACCCTACCATCTCCAGGCTCCAGTGTAAGTCCACCTGAATAGCCTGGACAAACAGGATCCTGGCTCTCAGCGCTCAGAGTGTGAGCCTTTGGTTCTGGGGCACTTGAGGACCTGGGACTGCCAGCTATGGAGTGTTTTTCCTTGCCATCTGGGAAAAGCCAAGGATCGCAGCCAGATGCCTGCAGATGGCCTGAGAGACTGACAGCTTCAGCAATAGATGGAAGATGTTTCCCAGAGATCCTTTCATCACAGCTTGGTTGAGTCTTCTAAGATGGAGAAGACAAAACGACTACCATTTGTGTTAACAATTAACAAAGGGCTGACTCAAAAGGGCTCGCCCTCCAAGTGTGTTGACCTGAGCCTGATCTCCAGACCCATGTCAAAATGCTGGGCACGGGGATGTGCACCATGGCTGGATCCAAGGCTGGGGAGGCAGAGGCAGGAGGAGGATCTCTGGGGCTTGCTGGCTAACCAGTCCATCCTAACTGATGAGTTTCAAGTTAATGAGAGACCCTCAAAGAGCTGGATAGTGTTCCTATGGGACACCATCATGGCTGGCCTCTGCATTTACATGCATCCCTCCCATCACGCAAAGGGACCGAGTGGCAGGCACCTTTCTCATCTCTGTGTCATGCGCTATCCACCGAATCACCGCCTCAAACACGTATTTTTCATTGCCAACATTGAGCTTCTCGAGAGAGATCACTTCTTTGAGCTTCTGCGGACTCAGCTCCAGGAACTCCTCTGTGCTGCTGACATCTCGGAAGTGAGTCTCCAGGTACTCCGTGGCCAGGTAATGCACATGGTGCAGGCAATAGTGCAGCGCGAAGTCGCGGATGCCGATGCAGTTCTCCGCGGCAATGCAGCCCTCCAAAAACTCACAGCACAAGGTTTTCAGGTCCGTCAGCAGCAGCAGGTCGGCCGCCTGTACAACATCTTGGATTGTATCTTCATTTAGCCTGATCTGTAAGAGGACCATAAAGACTATATCTGAATGCAGACATAAAACCCAAACCACCAACTTAGTTCTAGTTCACGGGAAATTCCCAATTTTTTCTCTTATCTTTAAAGGTTTATTTTTAATTATGTATATGTGCAGATGAGTATAGATCCCACTGGAGCTGGAGTTATAGACAATTGTGAGATGCCAGGAATTGAACTCGGGTCCTCTGCAAGAGTAGGAAGCGCTCTTAACAACTACATCATTTCTCCTCGAGGCATCTAAGGGCCTTCTCTCACAGCAGAAGTGTCTGACTTTTAGCCTGTTCACCTGTACAGGCCTTCCCTCCTGTGCCAGCATGATCCACCCTCCTCCTGTTGAGGGAGCTCAGAGTTGCAACTCACACAAAAACTTGGCTGAGCATTTAAGAACAGTGGAAATTTGTGGAAATTGGAGTTATCTCCAGATACATCAAGGTTTCTGTCTGCCAAGTGGGTGTAAGCCTCAAAGTGGGGGGCTTTGTATGTCCTCGGCAGCCTGCACTCAACACCGAAGCACGTGGGCCTCAAACTTCCATCTGCAATCAGTCCCCACTGTACTGGTTACCCTCCCTCTGAGCCTTTAGTTTTCTCCAGTGTTCTGACCGATGCTTCTTTCTCCTTGTCTCACACTTCCCCATGTAACCATAAAATGCCGTACCACAACTGAGCTCCTCCAGGCTTTGCTGCTTCAGGAATGAGAGTTCAGGGTCCAGCAAGAAACCTTTAACCACATCCTATGCATTTTCGTGCTATAATTTAAAAACGTGTTCTTACCAATTGCCTCAGAAACTGAGCACAACTGCAGGAAGTAATATTCTAAGTGAGGACATGCTAGCTGGGGACATCACTAATTTTTTATTCTTCTTTTATCTTTGTTGTTGTTTTGGTTTTGTTTGTTTGTGCGTGCGCTGGCTGGTTTTAAGTCAACTTGACACAAGCCAGAGTCATCAGAGAGGAGGGAGCCTAAATGAGGGAATGCTTCCATAGGATCAGGCTACAGGCGAGCCTGTAGGGCTTTTTCTTAACTAGTGACTGATGTGGGAGGTGGGCTACCCCTGGGCTGGTGGCCCTGGGTTCTGTAAGAAAGCAGGCTAAGCGAGCCATAGAACGGAAGCTAGCAAACAGCACCTCTCTATGGCCTCTGCACCACCTCCGGCCTCCAGGACCGTGCCCTGTTTCAGTTCCTGCCCTGACTTCCTTCAGTGATGAACTGGATTGTGGCAGTGTGAGGCGAATAAGCCCCTTCCTCCCCTGCTGCTTCAGTCATGGTGCCCATCACGGCAATAGCAACCCTGACTAAGACAGTGCGCGTGTACTTCAGATCTCTGTGTGGGTGCATGTGAACCAGGACACCCGCGGAGGTCAGAGGACCTTTCAGGAACCCATGCTCTCTTTTTACCTTGTAGGTCCTTCAGAATGAACCAGGTGATGGTGATCAGGCTTGGCAGCAGAGCTTTAATCCACCAAGACATCTCTCCAACCTTCCTCCCATTTCTAATTTTTTTTTTTTTTTTGGCACTGCTTGGGATGGAACCCAGGGCCTCATGCATTCCCGGCAAGAGCTCTACCACTCAGCCACATCCCCAGCCCCAAGAATATTAAATTCAACCAGAAGACGGGGAATAACCTCAGATACAAACCCATGAAGAACACTAAATACATCTCAATTAAACCAAACAGCTAATTTAGAAATTTGTCATAGCTTAAGTTGCCACCTAGATCCTAAGGTTTAAACTGGAATGAATGCTGGCAGCCAACCTGCAGACAGCCCGGGACGGCAGCCGGAACCTGCAGCCTGCACAGAGCACACCCTCGGTGGCCCAGCACCTGCTGTGCTCGTAACTCAAGTCAGCCCTGGCTGGGCAGACGCTTCCAGGATCTGAGCTTCACTCATTTCCATCTTCACACACATGTGCATCCACTGCCTTCTGTTTAGGAAGAGTTTCTCTGAACTGTTTCCCCAATGCTACAGAACCATACCACACGCTTCTAGTCGGGGACTAGAATCCCTGACTCTGTGGGCAGAACAAACACATTTAGAAAAGACATGCAGAATGCTTAGAAAACTACTGGGAAAAACAGACCCCCCCAGAAAAGGGGAAGTGGGGAAACAGCAGCGACGGAGGAGGGTTCATGGAGAGGGCAAGATGTGAGAAAGACCTTGAGAAATGGGGAAGCACACTTTCACACACAGAAATGGACGACACACTACCCTGGCCAAAATACCATGGAATCTTTGTTTCTTTGTTTTGGAGACAGGGCTTCTTCTATAGCTTTGGTTCCTGTCCTGGAACTCGCACTGTAGACCAGGCTGGCCTCAAACTCAGAGATCTGCCTGCCTTTGTCTCCCGAGTGCTGGGATTAAAAGTGTGCTTTTTTTTTTTATTTATCTTTATTTACTTATTTGTGTGTGTGGGTGGGTGGGAGGTATATGTGTGTTTGTACACGGAGGCCAGAAGATCTGGACCTGGAGTTCCAGGTGGCTGTGAGCCATCTGCTGCAGGTGCTGGGACTGTAAGAGCCGTGAGCTCCGAGGTTTCTCTGTAGCCCTGCTAAGCGTTGAAAGAGGTCTATGCTAGAACTTAAGTTACAGAAAGAGGACGGGGTCGGGAAAGCAAGAAGAAAGCAATCTAGGTGCTGACCATTCCTTGCCTGTGTGTTGTCACATCTCCGAAGCCAGGTGGCACAAAGAGTAGAGGGAACGCAGGGAGCCAGGGCAGGGGTGGGGTGAAAGGCAGCCACCAGCGAAGACCATAAGGGTGGCTTTCACTGGGAGGCGCCTTTCATGGCAATGACCCACAGGAAACTCTGTTTCTACAGAATAAGTCACAGTGCCCAGAGAAGCCCGTTTCCATGCAGACAGAGAAGGTCCTGACAGGGTGGATGTCGTGCAAGATCAGACTCAAGATGTGGTGGCAAGAGTCAGCGGTGAGGGGTACACATGTTCTTCGAATCTCAGCCTGGAGGGTGGCACTCAGAAGAGCACAAACTGGGGCCTGGTCTGACAGAGTCTGGAAGAACACGTATTTGGGGCCATCGCCAGGAAGACGTCAACAGATGCCCCTGATGGCAGAAGATGATGTGCAAGTACCACTCTGAAAGCTGGGAAGCCGCTGCTGGGCCTGGACCCTGGGTCCCACCATACCTGCCCACTGAAGATGTAATCCAGGATCTCTCTCATAACCATTACCGATATCCCTTCAAGTTCAATCTTGTAAGTGGAGCCGTCATCTTTGGGAGGATTATAGTTTAACTTTGTCCTAAGAAAGGGAAAACAACGTAAAATTCCTATGAACCAACAGAAACAGCTCGAAATGTTTATGTACTAAACACTATACCATAACATGGACTGAGCAGCAAGAATACCTCCACTTATGGAGTTTAGCTTCAAATCAACATACATAGCTTTAGCTAAAAACCACTGGCCCGAGTATGCGCAGGTTACTTAATCTGTTCAGGGGTTTACTCTTAATTATGTGCATGTGTGCCCACACGAGTACAGGCGCTCATGGCAGCCAGAGGCATCGGATCATCCTGGAGTTATGGGTAGTTCCGAGACAACTGATGTGGGTGCCAGAAACTGAGGTCTTCTGCAAGAGCAGAAAGCCAGCGATACACAATGAGACCTTGTCTTTAATTAAAAAAAAAAAAAAAAGAAGAAGAAGGTGTGGTGGCTCTGTGGTTAGGAGCACTGGCCGCCCTTCCAGAGCACCAGGTTTGATTCCCAGCATCCACGTGGAGGCTCATAACGATCTGTAACTCCAGTCCCACGTGAGTGAACCCTCTTCTGGTCTCGGTGGGTACTGCATGCATGTGACACACAGACATACATTCAAGAAAACACGTATATACATAAAAGTAATCAAATCTCAAAAAAAAAAGACAGAAAAAGTTAGAAAAAAAAGGAGAGCTACGTTAAGAAAATTAGAAGATTAACCCAGAAGGTTGAACATTTAAGAATAGGTCTATCTCCAAGACAAATAAAATAATACCTAGTAAGTACTCATGAGTAGAGAAAGACAGACCAAGCTGTATCGGCATGCTGCCTAAGGATGCTGGAAACAGGAATGGAGTCCTAGAAGCTCTTAGAAGGAAGACAGGCCACAAAGGAAGGAGTGAAGATCAGAGTGGCTTCCTACTTCACAAATAGGAAGATGTAATACCAGGGAGAAAGATTCAAGATTCTGACAGGAAAACATTTCCAACTAAGAGTTTTGACAACCAACAAACTGTCTAAACATGAGGAAAATCCAGGTGTGGCAGCACAAACTTCAAATCCCAGCAGCTGAGAGTCAGGGGCAGGTGTATCTTTGTAAATTCTAAGTTGGGTAACATAGTGAGACCTTGTGTGAAAACATACAAACAAGAAAACAAAAGAAAAAAAAACAACAAAAAATAAACAACCCAAAAGAGATTTTTTAAAAAATCCAGGATAGAAGCCGGGTGGTGGTGGCGCACGCCTTTAATCCCAGCGCTCAGGAGGCAGAGGCAGGCGGATCTCTGTGAGTTCGAGGCCAGCCTGGTCTACAGAGCGAGTTCCAGACAGCCAGGGAAACGCTACACAGTGAAACCCTTGTCTCAAAACAAAACTGCAGGATAGAATACAGGCATTTTTCAGGCACACAGTCACCAAACAGCTTACCAACCTTTCTGAGAATGTGGTTGGGAAATATATTCCAGCCAACCACAGAAGTTGACCCATAAAGAAGATACCGCACACAACACAGACATGATTCTGTCACTGTGCTGGTGGTGTTGCCACACAGCCCAGGAGAGGGAAGGAAGCAAAGGTTGACGGTGACGAGCAACCCCTGGATCATAGCTGGCTACACGAGGCCCCTGCAGATCTTCAGGAAAATGGACAGTATGACTCCCAAGTACCCATAAAGCAGGCTTTAAACACTTTGTTTTCTCTGGCATTGAAATCCCTGACTACTTACTGACTCTAAGTCTGAGCTAAGGACTAACTGGGCCTCCACTTGTGGTGCCATAGGGTCTATCTGTACGCCTGGTACTAAAAATGAAGCCTCAGACAAATCTTCAGACAAAAGATGGTATGGATAATACCAAGCCTCCCAAATGCACATGTGCAAGCATGTCTCCTAGCAACCTTTCACTTGGGATGTCATGGCTACTGACATCTGTCAGAGTCACTGTGCTGGTGACATTGCCACTCCGTTTCCAATTCACCCTCTGTGAAAGTGGGCCTGGGTCTCTTAAAGCGTTTTTCTTCTTCCCCTGGAGTAATGGTGAGCTTTTCAGAAGAAGCCGGTGGAAACAAAGCAACTAGACAAAAGTAGAAACAAGATTGCAGGACAAGAGAGCTGTGCTTCCTGGTTCTGGGGTGTCAGTGGGGAGTCCCCACAGTGCAGGTCTTTCCTGGCCTCTGGTCCCTGCTCTGCCAGGCTATCCAGGTGCCATCTTCAGTCACTTCTCTAGATCAGCTTTCTCAGGCACCTTAGAAAACCAATTTTCACCCAGTTGCACCAGTGTGGCTTTCCTGCCTTGCCTGTGAGCCATAGGCATGTCTTGTGCAAGGTCAGCCTAGGGGTTGTCGCTGCTGCTCAGATCTGTTACTCCTGTATTTTAAAAGCTTCCTTTTCGACTAGCCAACCCAGGGCTACCCCAATCTCCTGTTACAAACTTTCTTTTTTCAGGACCAGGGAGACAGCTCAGCAAATAAAGGAGTCTGACATCTGGTGGACACAGCAATGACTTCTGCAAATTGTTCTCTAATCTCCACACATGCTGGGGCACACCGCTCACCCATTCCACCCCTCCCAAAAAAGGAGTAAAGCCCAGAGAGTATGAACCTGGTAGAGGTGGGGCAAGCCTTTTGTTTGTTTTTGCTTTTGGAGACAGGGTTTCTCAGTAGCTACAAAGCCAGTCCTGGAACTCGCACTGTAGACCAGGCTGGCCTCAAATTCACAGAGATCCGCCTGCCTCTGCCTCCTGAGTGCTGGGATTAAAGATGTGTGCCACCATTGCCCAGAGGGGCATGCCTTTAATCCCAACACTTGGCAGTCTGAGGCAGGCATAGCTCTGAGTTTAAGGTTAGCCTGGTCTATAGAGTGAGTTTAAGGACAGCCAAGAATACACAGAGAAATCCTGTCTCAAAAAACAAACATAAAAAATCCCAAACAAAACGAAACAAAAATAGAGCACTTAATGCTCTTGCAAAGGAACTGGGTTTAGTTCCCAGCACCCACATGGCTGCTCTGAACAATCTAATCTATTAATTTCTACTTCAGGGGAACCGATATCCTCTTCTGGTCTCTTTGGGTACAAGGCACACAAACACTATTCACATACATACACGAAAGCAAGGCACTAAAAAATATATATATATAGGTACTTCTATATAAAATAAAAGTAAATAAACCTTAAAGACGAAACAACAACAGAAAACCCTCCCAAACTTTCTTGTTCAAATCCCTGTGCTGTTTCTCTGACCTGGACTGATACACAGAAGGCTATTAAAGACATGCTTAGCGAGGGTGGATTTCTCTCACCTTTATGTCCAAACAAGGCCTGGCTGTGCTGTGTTTTAAGACACTGCAGGATGAGGGAGCTGAGCTCCTAGGGCAAAGGCCACTGCAAACTTTTCACCATTGCTCTTTTGACAATCTACTTAAAAATAACTGTACTGTTGCATGTTCTTCCAACAAGAGGGGATCCATTTTAAACTGTGCCATGTTCTCTGAACAGGTAGTAGGACAGAAATGACTGAGAGGAGAGAAAAATGACCAGCTTAAATATGAACTATGTCACTCCAGGCTTTTAAAAAATGGAGTCATTTTCAGAACCCATGAAAACTTAATTTTATACTCTACACATCTAGAGACTAAGTAACAAAACTAATATTAATTTAAATTCACGTGTTCTTCTGTCTTCCGTCTGCCCCCCACCACAACACCACCTGAGCAGACCTAATTGCTACCCCGAGTGACCAGTCCCCAGGGCCAGCTGCTCTATAGTCACACATCTGTAGATCCTCCCCCTGGGACTGGCAAGACACATATGAATGTCCCCTTCACTGTGACAGACCTAAGTTCAAGTTCTAGTATGTACATATGTGTATGTGTGCCTGTGTACGTGTGTGTGTGTGTACGTGTGTGTGTGTCCCCACGTCCTCTTGACAGGATCTCATGTATTTCTAGCTCTAAAACAATACACTTCTGATCCTCCTGCCTCTGCCACCTGAGCGCTGGAATCACAGCTGTGCCATCATCACACCCACCTGGCCTAGGTGGTGCCGCCACCCGGGGCTTCGTGCATGCTAGGCAGACACTCTGCCAACTGAGCCACATCCTAGCTCCTCTGCTGAGCTCCCAGGCCAGAGGCAAGACTTCTTATCACTGTACTCCTACCAGGAAACCCAGCAGGTTTGGAAAGAAAACAATGCTCTTTGGTGTCCCCCTAAAACTCATTTGTTGAAGGGTCAGTGCCCCCTGCAAACAGAATCCAGGGCCTTTGGGAGGTCACAGGATCTTGAGGGCTCTACCTCATGGGTAGCCCATGCATTGTGTACTTGGATTTATGGGTTTGGAGGAGCTTTTCTTCAGCTTTGCCTGAACAAACATTTCTTCTATAACATTCAGCTTTAGTAGACTTAGAGCAACTGAGCTAAGCAACTATAGACCGAAAACATGAGCTCAACCACCCCTTTCCTCCTTTAGGTTGATTTTCGAGGGTACTTTCTCACAGCAACTGAGATGTAACCAACATAATATCCAACAATTATCTGTAACATTCTAAACTATTAGTTGCTATTAAATAGCCAATGCACTGCCACAAAGAAAATCACCACCTGATGATTTCAGGCGCAACAGAGTGAAGGAGAATCAAATAGGCAGGACTTTCTAATAACTTGATCTGTTGTCCTCTTCTGCACACATGTGGTGCACATACATACATACATGAAAGCAAGACACACACAGACGGGACAGTGACAAACAGCAACTCTACAGGGCTTGTCTTCTCTGCTGATGCAGACATTCATTCCCTTCAGGAAGGGAATGCAATGTCCACAGAGTCAGGGCACTGTGGTTTGGGGTGATTCATGGCATGAATCACAAGGCTGCAATGTTCGTGTCACCTGGAACTCTGCGGCTATGAAGCAGGCCTTCTGAGGAGCCCGGAGACAGCCTGTGCCAGCACTTTTGCCCCAAACTAGTCATTTGTTCTTTGGAGAATGTGTTTTACAGGTGACACTCCCTCACAGACTCCCTTTTCTGTTTTTGTGAGCTTCCAGAAGCCA